GGGCTCGAGGCCGTCAGGGGGTTGCTGGAGTAAGCAAGGGATGCTCTCGACGTCTTCTTCTGCAGCGTCGACGTGGTCGGGCGCGATATGGACGACAGGGACGGCTTCTTGCGCAATTGTTCCGTCGAGGCGGGCGCGCGCAGCTGGGAATGGCTGTTGGAGGGCCTGAGCACAGGGAGTCGCGAAGCGGGTGCCGGGCGTGGGATCCCAGACGGGCGCGGAATGGACGAGGACTGGTCCATGGTGATGCTGTCAGACAGCGCGCTATACGATGCAACGCCTAAGGGTTGGGAAGTCGTTCATGCAAGACGGCACAGGCGAAACACACGTCCAACCAGATTAAGGGTCCTCCACTTGTCGCCAGGTTGCTTTTCGAGAACCAATTCTCCGCGCCGGGTGCAGAGGGGCGTCTGAGCGAGCGGGAGGCGACCGTTGCCCCGTGAAACCAAAGGGAGAGCCATGTTTCTGTTGCGCTGACAGGTCGGGCCTAGCGCCGGTTGGTACTGAGCAGGGACGCCCGGCGGTCCTTCCTCAACCTCGCTCCACGCGCCTTCCGCACCGACGACATCGTCACCCACACACCCAACACACCCGTTACGAGCGCCCTGTCTTCTGCAAACACCTGTTCGCTGCCGTTTGCACGCTATCACGGTCGCATAACCCCCGCGACTTCTTTTTGGCAAACGCGCATCGACGCGCACCCCTGCACCCACCGTATCGTATTCGTCACCTCTACCGCGTCGCCCACCACGCCAGCTCCCCCAGCTCTTTGACACCTCTCCCCCCGCGTGTCACAGTTGGACTGGACAAAGCGCAGTTCTTCTCGACCAAACACCGCCTCCATATCTTCCTGACGTGTGTCGCACTGCTTGGGCCAATTGCGCCTGAGGCAGAATGGAGTCCCACGGAACGCAGTACCAGGACTCGTTGATGCCTACGACTGAGAACGCACAACCCGAAACACCACCCAAGCTTTGTTCTCCATCGCCCGCTGAGTCGGCAGCGCTCGCAATGTCAAAACTTGCATCCCCAGACCACAAGTTTACCTCCCCCGCACCCCGGACTACCTCTTCCATGACCCCTCCACCCTCTTCTCAGATCCCAAACATGCGTGCAGTCATGAGGACGCCTACTCCCCCGACTCCACAGCTCACGTCCCCCCCACCAACCAGCAAACTGCCCAATCAGCCGTCTGCCCTGACAGACATGGGTGCAGGTCTCTACCCGCAGGACCAAGTCAACAGTGCTTCTGCTGAGGAGCTGAGAACCATGGTCAACAGTCTCTCCAATGCATTACGCGACATGCGACTCTCCGCAGCCCACTACAAGCTTCAGTACAACATGGCTGTAATGGAGAGTCAGGAGTCCGCCAGCCGCATGGCTGTCGAGCTGGCCATGGCTCAGAGAGAGCTTGACGTTCTGCAGCAAGCTGAAGAGAAGCGCCGCAATAACATGGCCACCCCAGAGCAGACCTACCAAGAGTCTGCCAATGCAGCCAACGCAGTCTTGCTATCAGAGATGGGTCGCCAGAACCAGATGTTGCAGAGTGAGAACGAGGAGCTTCGCGACATGCTTGAGCAGCAAAAACGTCTGACTGAGCACCGTGAGGGCGAGCTTGCTAGCCTCTTGGATGAGAATGATCGTCTGAAGACGAGGATTCGTAAGAATCGCGACCACATCGCACCTCTTCTTGAGCAGATCGAACAGTCTTCACCGCGGTCGAATTACGGCACACCTCATCAGCCAACTCCCAGAAATCGCGGCAGCCGTGTGCCGCCTGCTCTGTCCGAGGAAAGCAGAAGTCAGAACAACTTCGAAGCTCTTCTCCTAGCCGACAAGATGCTGAGTCAGGAGGTCGCTACTGCGCCCACGACCCCCATCAGGCAACACGCACCCAGATCACGCTTCAGTCACCAGCGCGGCGCGCAGTCCATGTCATCGCTGCCACAGACCCCGAACCGCAGAGCTGCCTACCCTCAGGTACCCCGCACACCGCCACTTTTTGTGCCAACCAACATCCCCCAATCTGCACCACCAGCGCACTACCAAGCCAAGCCATCCAACACCCGTCGCCAAAGCAGCAACTCCACCATCACCGCTTCCAGCGTTGACGAAGAGGAAGCCTTTACCGACCGCGAGGAAGATGACGTCCCCGAATCCCAGGCCAGCCAAATGGCACGCAACCTCCTGCAAAGAGCACCACCCACCAAAGGCATGATGTCTGCCCCACCATCAGCCCAGCCAAGCAACCTCGTCCAAAGCAAAATCTTCGGCCAAGTCAAGAAAGGCTCCGGTCTAACCCGTGCCGGCGAGCTAAAGCGCGGCCGCATGCCCTCGACAGCGGATCTCCGCACTCAGACAAGTCCGCCGAAGCGCGGACGCGTCGATCAAGGTGTAGGTCTCGGCATTGGCGGCTTGCTGCGAGAGTAGAAGAACATTGTTCCTGACCATATGCGGCAGGGAGTTTATCAAGCTTATTGAAAGTTTGATGGTTTTACGATTCTGATGATTCTGGGCGGCCACTCTGTTGGACGGAGGGGTTGCTTTTGCTTTTTCTTGATTTTTTTTTGGACACAAGGTTTGGATACCCTTCATGCAAATGAATGCTGTTTGAGCATGGCGCTAGCTAGCGCGGCTGACTTTGAGGTTGGCTGATACCTTTATGATTGTTTATGGATTATGGCGGTTGACATGTGGGCTTTTTTGGATACCATGTGGCGGGAAGTGAGGGTGGGGAGGTTTAGTCTAGACAGAACTTGAAGTCAATGTATATGCGCATTATCCGCTCACACGAAAGATCATGTACTCTGAACGAATGTGCCCTGTTTCTACCCATCTCAATCCTCTGACACTCTGCCCACCGTCCCATACCCCTCAACCCACTATCTTCACCCACTTCCTCCCTTCACTGGCCTTTTCCATCTGATCAATAGCCGCATGCCACTCCACCGCCTGCGCGAAATCCACAAATCCTTCCTCTACACTCTTCCCCTTAACAAACCCCTCATACAACATGCCCACATTCTTCGCCATCGGCGTCAACTCCCTAACCACCTCGTCATACTCCACCTCCACCGTCTCCACAACATCCTTCTCATGATTGTACACCTCGATCTTCTCTCCGCCCATGCCAATATTCAGCATCGTCGCAGAAGTAAGTCGGATCTCGCCCTTCGTTCCAAAAACGCGCCATACGAGACCGGGAGTGTCTTTGAAGGTTTTGCCGTGTCGCAACGCCATGGAGATGGGCGCGGAGTTGTTGCGGAGAATGCCTTGGAGCATGACGTGATCGGGTGTTTCGCGCTTGGCAATGCGGTCGAAACTCATATCTGCTTTGAGCAGTTTCGTCTCTGGCCAACGGGTGGTCAACAATGCGGAACATTCTTCCAGGCCACCCAGGGCGTGGAATACGGCATCCGCGGTATGGCCAACGATGATGCTGAGGAAACTCCCACCGCTCTCTTTCTTGGTCATGAAGTCGTTGGCAGGCGGTTCAACATCACCAGGCCATCCCATCTCGAAAGTCAACGTGGAACTGAGGATATCACCGATGGTCTTGTCCGCGACGAGTTGCTTCATCTTGCGGATGAAGGGGCTGGAGCGCGATTGCAGACCAACGATAGTCTTGGATCCGCTCTTCTGGGCTGCGGCGTGCATTTCCTGGGCTTGGGACAGGTTGGACGCGAGGGGCCATTCGACGAAGACGTCTTTGCCTGCTTTGATACTTGGCATGAGCAGGGCGTAGTGTCTGTCTACTCGAACGGAGCAGACGACGAGGTTGACATCTGGGTCCTGGGCGAGATCGTCGGGGCTGCCGTAGGATTTTGTGGTTGGGGGCAGGTTGTAGCGTTTGATAGCTGCTTGGGCGGATGAAACGCTGGAGTTGCACAGAGCGGTGATTTCGTAGTGCGCTGAGGCCAAAAGGTAAGGAAGATGAGCACTGCGTGCGTGGGTTAGTGGGGATTGGGACTGGGAGTTAGGAAGTAGTGTATATACCTGGCTGCCCAGCTGTCTCCTGGACTGGCGGAGATTTCGCCAGTGACGGAACTGAGGCCGATGAGTCCTACTTTGATGGGCATGTTGATGAGTTGAGGGTTTTGCTGTTGATGAATGTGCTGTTGTAAGGTGATGATGATGGAATGTAAGATTTATCCTACCAATGATGGATATATAAATCAACAGAGCGATGCCGTTTGTTCGTCCGGTTTCAACTTGACTAGAATCCAGATACATTGCCAGGACCATAAGAGGCACGCAATACGGTCTATACGGTGGTACTAACCGATAGTCGCATGGGGTACGTAGTGCGGAGTTAGGATATTGTTGCTACATGTCAGGCTAGCCAGGGTACGATTATGTACTTTCTGACTATCTGACATCTCTGACATGTCAACGTAACAACAGCGCCCGACTTGTCTCCACTGGATGTCTCAAGAAACCACCGTGGAGGGTTTCTTCTCATATGTGCTGAACCTAATGAGTAGGACTAGTATGTCTGTAGGTGCCAGATCTCGGACGAGTAAACCGGAAGATCCGGTGGGTACTTAGCGGAGTGGATTTACTCCGCCGATGAAGGAAAAGCGCGTCGAGTATAGCCGCTCAAGAGGTGATAGACACTCAGGTACTCGGCATTACTACGGCACTTTCACTCCTGGAGGTTGCTGTGCGAAAGCGCCACGCAGGTTGTATGTATTACGAGGGCAGGTGTGGTTCGGCTAGCATGAGTAGTCGGCCCGACACCTTCCCCTCATTAGTCATCTCAACGCGCCCCAGACGCGGGCGCGTCCTTTTCGTGCTTTTCCGTGTGCTCTGACGTAACTCGAGCACCACGAAGGAGCCTTCTCCGTGGAAATGTACCATCGTTTTCCAGTATGGCTAGGTAATGTAAAGCTGCATGCCACGATGGTGGGCGCTGGTGCTGAGCCAACGTCATCGGCTCTCTTCGTCACGCACCCACGAAGTTTCCAATACCTCGTCTTAGGTCACAACAGATTGTCTAGATGAACACAATACGCAATGCGATGAGTTTCGGTGCAGCGCGTAAACATTTCAGCGCTGTATTCCCTTGGATCACATCACCCTTCATCGTCGGAGCGCCGATGCGCGTCATGTCTGGTCTGCGCCTAGCTCTTGCAGTGTCCAAGGCTGGTGGCCTAGGATTCATTGGGCCTGGCGCAAAGCCTGAAGATACCGCTACAGACCTGGAGACATTGCGCAAACTGCTGAAGGAGACATCAGGTTCTGCTTTTCCAGACGTATATCAGTCTGGAAAGCGATTACCGGTGGGTGTTGGATTCCAGCTCTGGAATGGGGATCTCAATTCAGCAACCAAGGCAGTGAAAGAACACCATCCTTGCGCTGCTTGGCTGTTCGCGCCTCGACATGGGCAGGAAGAGTTGGATGAATGGACGGCGCGCCTCCGGGAGGTATCACCTGATATTCATATCTGGATTCAGGTCGGCACACTGAAGGAGAGCATAGAAGCTGCGAAAAGCGACCATCGGCCAGACGTACTAGTCATCCAAGGCGCAGAAGCAGGAGGTCACGGAAGAGCCACAGATGGCATGGGCATCATGACGCTCTTCCCTGAAGTCGCAGATGGCATCCGCGGTTCTGGTATCTCATTGATAGCTGCTGGAGGCATCGCCGACGGCCGAGGTGTAGCTGCTGCACTTGCTCTTGGGGCACACGGTGTAGCTATGGGTACGCGCTTCCTTGCATCTACCGAAGCGCGGATCGGCAAAGGGTATCAGAATGAAGTTGTACGCGCTACGGATGGTGCTCAGAGTACTACTAAGACTATGCTGTACAATCATCTGCGAGGTACGGTGGGCTGGCCGGAGCAATATAGCCCGCGCGGTATTACAAATAAGAGCTGGCATGATCACCAAGCGGGTGTTCCATTCGAGGAACTGAAGAAGCTTCATGAAGAGGCTGAGAAGTCGGGTGATGCAGGGTGGGGTCCGGAGGGACGACTGGCTACGTATGCCGGGGCTGCGGTAGGGCTTGTGCATAGTGTTGAGGATGCTGGGAGTTTGGTCAAGAGGTTGCAGGACGAGGCGAAGACGATTGTACAAGGGCTACACGCTGATATTTAGATTGCTACAACGATACTGCCAGTGCGTTTTCCAAGTATGTGGCTATTGCTACGTGCTAATTACCCTCTTTATAAAGAAAGTCTCCGATCTCCTCAGTTCGATGGAGCGTCCTCATCAGTTTCTACGGGCTGAAATTCGAAGCCTGCTTGGTTGTCCGTCTGCACAAGCCCAGAAGAGTGCGTTTGCTCCGAATCCGAATCGCGCGTCTGCTTGGATGTAGAACTATTAGCCTGGCCGGAGGCATAGGTATGTGTCTGCCCGGATGAAGTATTGCCCTTTTGCCGAAGTGCATAACTGGCAATCAGCTTACGCCATAAATCCAGCGTCGGGTTTGACACCGCTCTGTTTCTTTCTCTGTTCATGAACAATGCCGCATGTATCTCAACCACATTTGCTCGTCCTCGGGGTCCTCTATACGCTGCTAATCATCAGCTCGTAACCGATGTTATCTTCCGCGGGAGACTCACTACGCGTCGCATCGAGTATGTCGCATGCAACACAGTCTCTGAGCAGACCTGTAAGTACATCAGTCCTGACATACCTCTTCCAAGTCAGATCTTTGCCATCAGCCTGGTCGATCGCCTCCCAATAGAGACAAAACTTGTGCATAAGGTCCCCGGTGCTTACTATAACCAATAAGATTAATATGAAATCGACAACGTTTACCTTGCTGAACTATCACTCACAATATTCGAAGGCAACGCCTTCGTCATATTCAAGATACTTTCCAATGCACTCCATATGTTTGTACCCATCTTGCATAGTGATATCAAGCTGCAAGAGTCTACCGACAACATGATCGAGCTGGTCGTCTGTTAGCTGCTCTTTAAAGGCGTTACAAGCAGTCGTAAAGCAGGGCAGACTACTGATGCTTATGGCTTTCGTTAAGCTGAGAAGTGTATTCACGAATGCCGTGATGCGATCAGCACTCAGGGGTGATTCTGGGTAATAACTTGTCGCCATCTTATGCTGCGCAGTATGATTGAGCGGAAGTGGGATAATGATCGTATTTAGTCGCTTTAAATCTCTGCTCGGTCGTTCAGGTTTGCTGAAATCATCTGATTACAAGATCGAATCAACTACAAACCGTGGACATGCGAGTTGCCTCAATTGAGGAATGCAGGCAGTCGGCTCTTTGAACGACCTCAGGATGCCACTGTTATGTTCAGGTTGAAAGGCAAAATCTCCCATACACGAACCGCGTGAGGCATAGACTGACTACATACATCGACATTCTAGGTGTGATATCAGGAAATCAACGATTTAGAGTAGCGAGATACGCCGCTACGAGGTATAATCAGGAATTTGAAAATAACCCAAACGCCATTCTAAAATCTGAGCCAACAGCCCCGTGATGTTCAAGCATGTGCCGTTACTACGTGCTAATTACCTCCCATTTCAAGAAAACCCCCGTTCTGTTCGGTCCGCTTGAGAGTCGTCATCGGTTTCTACAGAAGGATGTTCGTAGCGTGTTTGATGCGCAGTCGTGGAAGTGTTCTCCTGCCCTGATGTGAAGTTAAGCACTTGCTCTGATATCAAATTCTTTAATTGCTCTAACGTTGAATATCCAGGCCGTTCAGATCGGCTGAGATCCGAGATTCTCCTAATGACCTCGTCGGACTGTGCGGGTGTTAAATGCCATATGAAAGTGGCGCGAGCGTGATTAAAACATGGCCAATCGCTCGTCAATGTGGCTTCCGTCAGGCTTGTGAGTATGTTCAGAGCTGCTGTGATGTCAGAGTCACTGAGAGATGGGTCTGGTTGGCGATAAGTTGTCATCGTACGCTCTGCGATGGGGTAGACGGGCGTGAGAATGACCATATAGTCGCTTTTTAAACTCTTAGGGATCGGATAGGTTTGCTGTAGCCATCGTATCACATGCTCGATTCGATGGAAACATGGAGAATCCAAGTCGTCCCCAATCGAAGGGTGTAGAGGCCTGACTGTTCTATGAGAGCACTGTGGTAGCAGTTGTGTGATGATATGAAATATTCAACGGATTTCCATGCCTCTATGTGACCAACAGCAACAAAGATCCGAATATTGTAAGTTACCCAAGCGCCATCCGAGCATCTGAGCCGACACACTCATCAATAGTCATACCCCCACCCACTCTGCCCAACCCTCCCCACTCCCTCCCCATTACTCAGTGCCCTCGCAACCTGAAACCCCTGCGTCAGCACGCCCACCGCATTATCCACACCAACATGCCCACTCCTAAACGTCCCAGGCACAGGCGGATCCTCACTCCTCTGCATAACTGCCCTCATCATCTCCTCACTCGCCTCGCCTTCATATCTCTCCAATACCAGTCTCCTTATCGCCACATGCCACTCACCCATCCACTCCTCCTCACTAATAGTCGTGTACTCCTTCCTCCCCATACTATTCGTTCGTGAAAATGGCCATTCAGCTCTAACGACGCTCCAGCGCCGCGTCGCGAAGAACAAGATAGGCCAACTGAAGATCCACAGGAAGGTCAAGTAGAAGATCCATCGCACCCATGTCTTCAGCCTCCAAGCATTCACACGGTGGCTCGTGTAGAAATCGACGTTTGCGTCTTCGACGGGGAAGGTTATGGAGATGTTGCCGCGGTAGTTGGTCGATCGGATTATGCCTTCGATGCGGCTGCGCAGGTATGCTTCATCCAGACCCGTGACGTCGCGCCGCACACGGAAGATACGAAGTGCGCGTGGGGAGGCGCAGTATCTATGGCACCACTCCGTCAAGCTCGGTTTCTGAGTCCCGCCCACCTCAATATCTTGCTTTGCGCCCGGTGCCCTACACTTGAGAATCGTGCCGCGGTGCGTTTTCTCGCTGTTCTCAGCTGTCGTGAGGGACATGGTGCCGAAGTTGTTGGCAATGTAGTGCGCATGGATGTATTTGGACAGGTTTATGACAAGACGGAAGTCAGTTATGGTGCGCGACTTGGTCTCGTTATTCTTCTTGGTGGTTTCGCGGTGCGTGCCCATTATGTAGATGAGGGGTGTTGGGGCGGCTTCGGCAAGGAGGCGGATGGAGTTTTCGAGAGCGGCGGGGTCGTTGTCGTAGAGTGGGTCTTGGACGTTTATCGTGGTGTTTACGACGGGGTTTCCGTTCTTGAAAGAGGGTTTGGCGTGGTTCGTTGATGTGGTTGGGGGCGCGATGTGGTGGATGGGGATCGAGGATGCGGGTACATTGCTGGTACCTGCTTCGCTGTCGGTGTAGGAAGGCGGAAGGCCGGAGATTTCAGGCGCATCGTCGTAGGTGTAGTCGTCGGGGGTGGTGTGGAGGGAGACGGCGTCTGGGTCGTCCCGGTAGCTGGGTGGGGGGTCGGAAGGTCTACCCATGGTGTAGATTCTCGAGTGTGCGGAGAAATACTAAAAAGAGATGTAGAGGACTATGAGATGGATATCGCGATTGAGATTAAGAAGGAAAGACGATACTTGGGCGTGGATGAGGCGTTCAAGGGGCCGGTGAGGCGGAGCAGGAGTCTCAGCCCTCTCCAGGCAGCCACTCACCCATTGGTCTATGCGGAACCACTATGCACGCTTTGGAGGTTGTTTGCTGCATGTTAATGTTGGTATATCGATAGCACCATTCTGTGCGCCGATTCATTAGTTTCACGACAATGTGCATCTAGTATACTCGCTGTATATATTGGGTAGTGATAGTCGTGACAGGCGACGCGGGGAAGTCGCGCGGTGACGCTAAATTTAAGCTTAACTCCGAAGCCAAAAATTTGGAGCTCGACGCGACAGAACCGTGGATGCGCCGTGACTCTTTGCTCAAGCCACAACTATCGCCGGATTTAGATCGACCTCCACACTCACCTCCAATCTGGCCTCCATTCTAATCTGGACACGCTGCTCACGCGCCTTCCGAGTCCCTCCACGCCTTCCCCGCAGAGCATGGGCAACCAGTAGCTCTTTCCCACGCGCATTCCACACCTCCCTCACCATGGCTTCCGACGTCCCCATGACCGACGCAACTGTGCAGACTATTGATGCGACCCCGCAAGCCGACCAACATATAAGCCACGACGGCAAAGAATACACCACCATCAAGGAAGGCCTCGCGCATATTCTCGTCCCCCATGACATCCCCACGTCCACCGACCCAAGGCTATCCAAGGAGGAACATGCAAAGCAACAAGTCTTCTACAACCCCATTCAGCAGTTCAATCGCGATTTGACTGTACTTGCGATCAAGACGTTCGGCCTGGACTCAATACAACGGAAACTGAAGAAGCACGAGCAATTCAAACAGAAGAGGGAACGCACGCGACAGCGGATACAAGCGGAACGGGCGGCGGGAGATACTACGAATCATGGGAATGGTGAGACTGAGGCTCCTACCACAGATGAAAGTCTGTCTAAAAAGAGGAAGCATGTAGAGGCTAATGGTGAAGAAGGTGCGGTCCACCCAAAGAGGCAGAAGACATTAGATAAATATGGTGCCGCCGAGCAAGAAGAAGAAGGTGAAAATGATCAGGACGACGCTACTGGTGCGAATGGAGGACGAACGCCTTGGAGACCTTCCTTCCGTATCCTCGATGCCCTATCCGCGACCGGTCTCCGTGCCCTACGTTTCGCGAAAGAGGTCCCATTTGCAACCGCCGTTACAGCAAACGATATGTCACAGAATGCTGTCGACTCCATAAAGCTCAACGTAAAGCACAATAAACTCGAGGAGACAGTAACAGCAAACACTGGTAATGCGATAGCCTACATGTACAGCTATTGCGACAAGAAAGGCTACGATGTCATTGACCTTGACCCATACGGCACTGCCGCTCCCTTCATCGACGCGGCCATACAAGCCATCAACGACGACGGATTACTCTGTGTAACGTGCACCGACTCCGCCATCTTCGCGTCACACGGCTACCTCGAGAAGACCTACTCGCAGTACGGTGGACTGCCATTCAAGGGCGAGCCCTGCCACGAAGGCGGGTTACGCCTGGTTCTACACGCCATCGCAACTTCGGCCGGTCGATACGGCATGGCTATCGAGCCACTACTGTCTCTCTCCATCGACTACTATATACGAGTATTCGTACGAGTGCGCAAAGCGCCCACCGACGTCAAGCTTCTCGCCGGCAAAACCATGCTTGTCTACCATTGCGAAAGCGGCTGCGGTGCGTGGACTACCCAATTCCTTGCTCGGAACAAAGTCCTGAAGAATAAGAACGGTGACCCAATGTACAAGCACGGCTTTGCACAAGGGCCCTCCGCGGACCAACACTGCGAGCACTGCGGCCACAAGACCCACCTGTCAGGACCAATGTACGGCGGGCCGTTGCATAATGTCGGTTTTATCGAAAGAGTACTAGCGCAGCTAAACGAAGTCGACAAGCAGACATACGCGACAACGGATCGCATCGAAGGAATGTTGCATACAGCATTGGAGGAAATTACATTTGGCACCAAGCTGGACAAGTCCAATGGAGGAAAGACTCAAGTGCTAGATCCCCTCATTCCGAAGTCCGATCCTGCAGAGGTGGACCACCACCCCTTCTTTATCATTCCAAGTTCGGTAGCGAAGATAGTTCACTGTTCAGCGCCGCCGTTGGCGGCCATGCGTGGTGCGCTACGACATGCGGGGTTTAGGGTGACGATGAGCCATTGCAAACCTGGCTCCATCAAGACCGACGCATCGTGGAAGGACATTTGGCACATTATGCTCGAATGGGTGCGGCAAAGAGCGCCGCTGAAGAATCTGCCCAAAGCAGGAAGCCCAGGCGCCGCCATTCTTGCAAAGTCCAACGCAACAGGGTACACAAAAACGCCAACTGCCGACATAGCACCTGCTCAAGTACCGGCCGATCCGGCGCCTGAAGCGCAAAGCAATGGAGAAAACAGCGGCGATGGTTCGGCGACGACATCCGCAAAAGATCTGCCAGCTTACCTCAACACCAAGTTCGAGGTCAACTTTGACGAGAAGCTCGGCAAGGATCACGACAGGGGCAAATACGTCCGCTACCAGCTTGCGCCCAGGGAGAATTGGGGTCCGATGTCGCGCGCGAAATAATTCAATCATCAGCGAATAATACCAGTTCCACTATTGCATCCCAGCTCGCACGTTTATCGCTCCACAAACTGCATGTGCGCTGTGCGTTGTGCGTTGTTGTCCCGCACCTCTCCAATAATCATCTCGCGTGGCACCCATGATGTTCGCCGTTCGTCAAACATCGGCGCGCGTTGCGCAGATCTAACGTCATCGTCGATGTGCTTAGGTAAGGGGTAGACATGCAAGCTGCATCGGTAATGCCATCTTCCTTGTCCATATCGCAGATGCACGTTATTTTTTCGGCCAAAGCTTTTCCACATCTACGATCCACATGCTGCAGCATGCATGGAGCGCGCTCACATGGCCGCATCGGTAAGCGGCCAAGCGGAGATGAGCCTGCTTCTGTACCTGCAGATTCTGATGTTTACCCGAGCTTGAGGTGCGATTTGGCTTACTGGGTTGGCTTGGCCACGCGAGGCTGCCGCTCCGCGGGGGCGAGTATCTGGATGTACGGGTCGAGATTTCTCAGCAACAAATGTAGACCGGGTGTATGCTTAAGCGTTGAGCTACTCCCAAAGAGCACTGGCGACATCGCCGAAGCCTTGGACGGAAGCCGGTTTCGTTAATTGTCGCTGTTGATCTCTTGCGGGGCGGGAGCACTAGCGGCTCAAAACTTAAACGCTCCACCATGTCATCACGTCGTCACGTTGTCTGCACGCGGCAAATCGTGGAAAACACGCCCCCTGTACGCACGCGTTCACGCAGCGCCCAGGTTTTCCCAACAGGCATTGAGGTGCACTGAGCAGGCAAGATTCAGCAGCGCATCTTCTGATTCGTCCGAAATGTCTTCCCGATGCCAGTCCCGAGATTCCCATGTCGTGGCCGACTTTTCGATATCTGCGGCTTGCACTACCGCATCCGTCCAGTCATGAAATCATAGCGGTTAAACCTATTTCGGCAGCGACGCTTGTGGTCATCGATGTGAAATCAGTAGGAAGTAGCGTTGACGCGATGCGGTCACTGATGCGCGATGCGCGTATATAACCATTACAGACGCCGTCCATCGTCCCAACCGCACAACACCTCGACCCGACAATCGATTTCAAGATGTTGACCAAGAGCCTCTTCACCACTTCGGTCCTCGCGGCTTTCGCTGCTGCCGCCCCTGCGCCCCAGGACGGCTACAGCGCTGCTAAGCCGACTGAAGATGTCCCAGGCTACACCAACGCGGATGCCAGCTTCTCCGTTACCTTCACGCCAGATGCCACACCCGCTACGTCCTTCGGCTCTGCCTCCCAGGTCGCTGCTATTCCCACCGCACCTGGCTCAGCTCCTCCCCGCAGGAGCTCAGATGTCACTGGCGCCACCAGCCATGGCCCATACGATGGCACTCCCACCACTACCGGAGCTGCTAAGGCGCCTACCACCATTGGCACTGCCATCGCTCCTCTAGGCCCGGCCCCCACGGCTACCTACTACAACACCAACGGCAAACCCCAGGACCCCATGCCCATCCCCTACATGCCAGCTGGTGGTCTCGGTACCAACGGCACCGAGCCTCGCTACATGGTGAACAGCGACTTCGACTACGAGTCCATCACCCTCGGTCTTTACCAGGAATGGATTGAGCTCGACCTGTTCAACAACGGTCTCGCCGTCTTCTCCGCACAGGACTTCCTCGACGCTGGCCTCACTGCTGAGGACCGCGCCTACATTGCCTTCATGGCCCAGCAAGAGAGTGGCCACGCTACCCTCCTCAGCAACATGCTCGGCGAGACTGCTCCTCCCCAGTGCACCTACAACTACCCCTACCGCACCGTTCGCGAGTTCATCGACTTCAACATGAAGCTCACCCGCTTCGGCGAGTCTGGTGTCTGGGGTTTCCTCGCCCACATGGACGCCCGCGAGGTCGCCAACCTCCTCTCCCAGTCCATTGCCACTGAGGCGCGCCAGCAAATGTCTTTCCGTCAGATGCTCGGCCTTGCCCCCATGCCCGTCTACTTCGAGACTGGCATCCCCCAGTCCTGGGCCTGGACCTACCTCGCTCCTTACATCAGCTCGTGCCCCGAGAACACCACCCGTCTCGCATGGCAAAACTTCCCGGCTCTGTTCATCGACAACCAGCCTAACCCCAACCGCTTCTCGCCCAACGACACCAAGCCCCACGAGGTAGCTGGTGACCGCGTCGCCGACCCCGCTGACTCCACCATTGACCCCGACGAGTCCTGCGTCAACGTCAACGGCACCGAGCACCCTGGCTACTCTTGCGGCCCCGCCGTCGCACGCAACCGCACTCAGCCTCTCTCCTTCCCCGGCAAGCTTGTCAACCTCACCTGGGAGAACCCCGGTCAGGCTGTTGGCCCCAACAACTCTTACATTACCGACACCTCTGCCGGCGCCCCTGCCTACGTTGCTTGGGTCTCGCAGTTGAACCTGACCTACACTCCTCTTGAGATCACTGGCGAGAACACTGGATTCACCTACCAGCCCGCCGGCGAGGTCTACCAGGGCGAGCCAGCTGTCAACGACACCATGTTCGTTGCTCTGACTGATGCCAACCCCTTCCTTACTCCCTTCAACTTGAGCATGATCAACCCCCACGTTGTTGCTCTTGGTCTGTACCAGGCCGGCTAAGTTTGTGCTACTAGAAATGAGAAGGTGGATGTCATCATGCTATTGTAGCATTGTGGACATGTAAAGTTAGTGGATGAGGCCTATGAGCCATGTAATTAGTTGAGAGGACGACGATGTTGTATGATAGCTGGTGGATGGATGATTGAGAAAGAAAGTAATGCGTAATGATACCAATTTGTCATCATCAAAAGATCTTTGGAGTTTGTTCATGTGATGTACGACATTTGCCTAACTACATCGCTTCCCACTGACTTCGGTTCTGTGCGCTTGGCAGGGCATATAAAAGCTGACTTTCTCCCCATCTTTCATATCTTCTCATTCTCCATTCAGACCCTGGTTCTGATTTCCAAAATGGATTGTGTGTAGACACATGGCCGTCTCTGCCCCCGCTTCCTCCTTCAAAATTTCCGAATACACGTTCCATGTGTCCAGACAGCCAACGTCTAGCAATGCATGTTTGCCGAAACTTCCAAAATTTACGATGGCAATATACATGCTTGTCTGTGACCCCAAAACTCTCGGTACACCTACGTATGAGCGCTGCGCTCGCCCCTTCAGAAACACCATCAAATCGTTCTATGTCTCGGGTTTTCCATATAAAACTGCTACGACAGCGCGCTTCCACTTCTCCTCTTTACTTCTCTCACTCCAACAATGTGAGCTCAAAATTCCAAAACATCGAACGAAAAGAGGAATGTCCGTCCCTGCCTTCTCTGATGTTCCTCAAATTGCAGCGACCGTCGCGTTGCTTCATCACCAAAACATATAGCCGACATACGAATGTCTGCACCAAATCCAAAACTGTTTGAGCCGATGGCGATGAGAGCTGTGCGGTCGGTCTTTTCACGGCTTGTCAAAATGAGACTTGTTCTCCAGTCCTTCATATAAAACCGCCTACTACTCTGCGCCTCCAAACGTATTCTCCAACACCTGCAGACAAGCCGCCAATTATTCCAAAACTTGACGAGTAGACTTTCATGTTCGCTTCTGGCTTTTCGCCTTCTTTTCCATCAAAAGTTCTTGCGCAATACGATATGTGCGAATAAAACTCCCCAGAGACCTTCCACATGTTTGTCCGAGAACAAACATTCCACACACTTTGCGATGGGAGTCGTGTGCTCGTCTTCCTCGAAAAAGCCACCATTTTCTCATATGGTGCTTCTCTTCTTTGTATCTTAAACCATTACCGCATTCCTCTCTTCTACCCCGAAATCTGAGATGCTCCCGAACATGATTCCTGGTTCTCGAAAGCCTCGACAGAATGAGGCTATGGGCGGTCTGATCTCCTCTCATGGCAACGAGATCATACCTAATCATCCGGCCGCTGTGTCTTCCAAAAACTGGTTACTACGCTCCTCTATTCCACTCTAAAATACCTTTGCTACCAGCAATGATTCCTGGGGTTCCCAAAAAGTCAAAAATCGAAGTAAATGAACTTTCTGCTCTCCTCTTGTGTTGCTAAAATTGTACCTGGTTTTCCGCTACGTTTCATACCATAGTTTTACTAGTTTCCTCTCTTCTCTTTCTACAATCACTGAGCTTACATCTATAAGACCTGGGTCTTCAAAAAGGTGATATTATGAACCTATGTGCTCTTCTCTCCTCTTGTGTTAACGGAACTCCCGTAACGGCGTTTGCGCGATGTCACTAAACTGCGCTTCTGACCCCTCAATGTCCGGTCGTACCGAACCAAAATATCCCACGTGCATGGACATGAGAGCTGTGTGTTCGCAATCCAAGAAGCTTCTTAAGGCCCTGCTCTGCATCTGACCTTCCGTATAAAGTGTCCATGAGACTGTCCTCCTTCCTTCCCTCCTACCTTCACGTACTTCAAACCTCGGGAAATGACCTCCAAAATCATGCTGTCGGCTCAAAATGGCCGTTCCTGCTTCTTTCTCGTGTTACAAAAGCTCCGCAAAGATGCGATCTTTCTAAAAACCAAAAAGTCGCGCAAACCCAGACGATGTTCTGCGGAGTCCAAAACACCAGCAAACCCTAAAATGAGAGCTTTGCCCTCCCCCTTGTTAGACCTTCTCAGCAATTATTGCTTGGCGTCTGGCGTTCCACATAAAGTGCCCACCAGACTATCTTTCTTTCTCTCTTCATACATTCACGTACTCCAAAACGTAGGAAGTGATTTACAAACACCAAGTCCAGAACACCATGTTCGCTTTTTCCCCTCTTCTGTATGGCATCATATGCGCAGCAGCAATATGTTCAACACACCAAAAAAGATAAAGAAGGCAAAACCTATTCGGCCGCCCCTATACGCTATTCGGCCGCCCCTAAAAGATTAGATAGAAAGCCCCTAACGTCTTTACGCCTCTAATAAGCTACGTTACTAGAATATATTACCTAATTAGGCAATTACTATATAAAAGTATTAATTTAGTGTAAATTTAGGCTAGAAAAGTGCTTAGGGGTCTATTATCTTATCTTTGTAGCTAAAAAGACTAGATAATTACTCTTTAGGCTTGCGTACGCGATACTACGTCACTAAAAAGACTAGATAATAACTATTTAGGCTCGCGCGCGCAACGCTATATTGCCTGTTTAGGAAATAAGCGTAAATAGGCGAGTATTATAGCTGTAAGGGACCTTTTTATCTTAAGGATTTGCTTCTATCTTATCTAATCTTTTTAGGGGCGGCCGAATAGTGTTAGGGGGCGGCCGAATAGGTTTTGCCATAAAGAACTAGATCATGTTCTGCGAAGTCCAAAAAGAAAAATCAAGCTATGTATGAGGATCGCGGTTCGCCTTTCCCAAGTCCCTCTAGCAAGTGTTTTCCACTTTGCAAAGTCGCTTGTAAAACATCTACTGTACTACCTTTAGTTCTGCTCCTATACCGCGCACTTCGAAACGAACAAGCCCGATTCCAGAAGCGCAGACCTATGACCAATAATCATGTCTGCTCCTCTTTTCGGTTGTATCTCCTTCGCACAGATGTAATCTTTCTAAAACACCTAAAAGTAACGCGAAACCAGATCATGTTCTGTGGAGTCTAAATTACCGTAAAGACTCTTTCCATGAGAGCTTTGCGCTTAGTCTTCTTTCAATCCTCTTAGAAAGTGACACTCAGTTGCTAGGGTTGCATTGAAAACGATCACGATAACACCTTTTTCTCTACTTCCACGGCTATACATCGGAAATTTGAATAACATTCTCTTAAAAAACCAACAAGCGTAAAGTCATGGCCGTTTCTGCTCCGCTCGTTCTACTATTCGAGCCATACAATCTTGTGCTGCGTCACCAAAAATGTAGCCTTCGGTCTACATGTTCTGCCAAGTCCAAAAGAGCTCGTCGGTCGCCTCATGGGGGCCGCGCGTTCGTCATTCTTAGATCTTCTGAGGAGTTATTGCCCTGATTCTGGCGTTCCTTGGAAAATACCCACAAAACCACCTCCCTGCTTCCACTTCTTTTCTGAAGCGCCCATACTTCAAAAGTCGCGAACTGAATTCCTTAGAAGTTGGTGATGAACGCATGACCATTTTCTCTCCTCTTGCTCCATTATCTCGACTATACAGTAATGCGCTGTACCACCGAGGAATATGAGGACATCGTTCATGGTTCTGCGGAGTTCGAGAAGAAACGAAGGGCATGCATGATGAGAACTGCGCGTTCGCCTTCCCAAAGCTTTTCCAAATGGCAGGAGTGAAGAAGCCATGTGTTCCGCTGAAGCCGACCACGAATTCAAGACCATGTCTGACATCTAAATCGGCAACGTAGCATTAGCGGACAAACAACTCCCCCTCTCCATTTCGATCCTCGCTGTAGCATTGACCACCAACCCCGCCAAGGGACTAGTCCCGCACTTCAATCCCAGTACAAAAGCCTGGCTGTGCTATTCTCTTTGTCAGTCGAATACTCCTTCAAATACAAAACAAAAAGCAGTCAAAGAAGACAAATGTTCGGGAAAACGAGAACACAGTGGCGATGAGCGAGAAGAGTTGCAAGAACGTACCACATCCGCCAAAAACGGCGCCGTATGCGTATGATCCATCGGATACTCCTTATCCACCACCTCCTTTCCCAGCAGCTTTTGCGCTTGCGCTGCGTAATTGCCATGCTGCACGAAATACACATGTGATGCTGGACCGCCTAGTTCGATGACCGATAGCCTGTGTCGAATGTTAGTCAGACTCGTTCTTTGCCCCTCAAAATCTCAGATGGCAGACATTGATGTGATCAGCCGGGTGATGTTACATACATATTGTAGTAAGCAAATCTTCCAGGAGTGAAGCTGTAACTTCCAGACTCCCAGACGTTGGTCGGAAGTTGCGATGATATGACGACGCCGGAGGCGCCTAGCGAGAGGAAAGTGGATGCGGCGGTCTTGATGTAAGACGGAAATGTGTGGACAACCTCCGTGGCGTTGCTGTTGGGCGGACATCGAGTTTAGCGGTTGCGATTAGGCATTGCTCTTGGGTAGCTTACTTGAAAGTCACTTCACATGTCTCATCGCCTACACCAGGGCATGACGGTCGACCTTTATCTCCTGTTGAGCTTGTGGACCCATTTTGAAGCGTGCCGGCGTCATTGATGCCGAACTCGATTATGACCCAGTCGCCGGGTTGGAGGGCTTTGGCTATTCTGTCGAAACGCCCTTCGCGTGTGAACTATATCCGCTACGTGTTAGCCAGTTCTGTCCATATTTCTGTGCTGTGGAAGAAGTCGACAAAGTGGACGCACCGAGCGCGCGGATCGTCCGGCATAAGCGGAGTTGTTTACTTTCGCGTTGGCGCCGAAAGAGTATTGGAGATATTGGCCCCAGCCTTCCGTACCGTTGTGACCGCCATCCGGCGCGGTCGTAGAGTCGCCTGCAATCCAGATTGTTGGTACGGTTGCTCTTGTAGCTGCGCCTGCATGTCTTTCGGACAGACTTTGGGGTAGCGCCGAGGCCGCGGTGCTGAAGCCCAGGAGATATGGTAGTGATCTTTGGAACTTCATAACGGAAAGAGATAGCCAAAGTCACCAAGCAGCTGTTTTGATATGTTTGAGATACTGGCTGGCGTCTACTCCAGGCAATTGTGAGCGTTGCGCCAAGCGCTCAGTACTTATACCGACGCCTCCACAACGCCACCGGAAGATATCATCTCTCCAATTTGTCGCAAGGGGTTTAGCAACGCCATCAGCAGGCTAGTCTCATCTCCGCAGTTCAAACACGTTAGAAGTTGCGGAAATAGCTTCAAGGGATCACGCCGACGCGGAGTCCCCGCATCGTCCAGGGTCAACCCGCACTCGGCTATCGGGGCAGTAATTACCGAACAGCCCAGATCTTCCGTCGCTCGAAAGGAGAGAACGATAATACAGAATGCGCAGAGAAGGAGCTGTGGTGTTGACAGATGTAACCTTGGAATGCAGAGGGCATGCGCGAGTGCGACGCGACGCGTAGACGGCCTCAGGGGGCCTCTGACGTCACCGGCACATGCCGGCAAGCGAGGGACGGTGCGGAAGTACGGGCGCTGGTGCTGGTATAAAAGCAGATCTTCTCATGTTGAGTGTCCTGTTTACTAAACTTCACTTTGCGCTATCCTGCATACCTAGATACCAAAAACGTTGATGAGCACGATGATGAGTGGCGCGCCTCCCTTCGCCGTTCATGCTACTGAAAGCCACACTCAAACTGGCCATGTCTTCCTGTCTCTTCATCTTCTCGAGTTCTGCTTGCAAGATCGGACATGTCAGCTGCATTTATACAAGAAGCGATTGGACATCGACAAATATTTCTGCAAGACTGCCACCTTTCGACTACAAAAGCTTCTGCTGTCTGGCTACCATCTGCCTCAATAAACACGCAAATCATTATGGTTTTTTAAAGATCGAGTACGAGCCACCATGTGGCGGCAGGCCAGGCGTTTCCAAATAAACCCATCATCGGAAAATACAACTGAATAAGACATGGTTCTGGGCCGAGTACATCAAAACGCTCACGATAATACCGCGTGGCGGCAGGCTCGTTCAGCTTGGTCCGTTACCTTCTGGCGGTTGTCGGTTGACATTCGATATGAAACGCCACCCTTTCTCTCCTGCGCCTTCTGCCCTCAACAACACGCATTCGCAGTTCGCTAAAATCAAGCTTTCTCCTGGATAATGTCTTTCGGCCACTTGTGGCTCGCACTACACAGCTCGAAAACACAACCATTCATACGAATGACTTTGCAGCGATCGAGAAACAACTACTCTACCTTTACATGCGGAATTGACTTTCAGATGTTTCCAAAAGTGTCTACTGATTAGTGCATGATACCGATGCGCAGTATAAAAACTTCTAATCGTTCGGCTTTGCCCTTTTCTTCACGACTTCAGTCGACCATTTCCATAAAATCTCCAAAGCTTAAACACCATCATTGCATGTTCAGGTGCATCCTCTCCTCGAGCACTTCGAAGTTTATTATCGCAAGTCTATGCCCGCGCGACAACCGAAAAGATGCATGCTCTGTCGGCATGTGAGACGTGCGCTTAGCCTCTTTTGCTGTAATAATACCTGCCGCTTTCCTTCTCACTCCTCCAGATCATGGAGTACGGAGCTTTGAGGCGATTATACCAAAATATTCTTCAGAACAACGGATGTCTCTGAGAGGTGCGTCGATGCCTTTTCTAGTGCTCAATGTCAAAAAGTCAGTTGAAAGATCTGATGTGTTTCCTTGTTCCAAAAGCTAATATTCACGCAACCATGTCACCAAGTTACGGATCAGAACCAGTATATGAAAGAAGAGCCCGTGGGCATTCGATAGGGCTGCGGATAGTGATAGTATATCCTGATGAAGCATCGTTCGCAACCATGCATGCAGAAGCGCAGCCCATGTCCCAAACGCCTCCTACGCCAGCAGAAGCAAACCCTCATATGCGCCATACTTCCATCTTCATCGTCTTCTAAGTACAAGTAACATCGCCCAACCCGGACATCTCCCTCACAGCCTTCTCAATATCAACCGTCTCCATGGCACTCGTAAACGTAGCCGTGAAAGAATCGCCACCAGTATAGCCGAACGCCCAATCACCGAACTTCTCCCTGAGCGACGCTTCATCACCCCATCCAGATCCTGTGATCTCCCAATCACCGGCGCCAAAGCCAGGCTTGACTAGCTTGCAGCCCGCTGTGTTTGGGAGTGGTGCCGGTGCTTCTGGTATTTGTTCGGGTTCGGGTTCGGTTTCTGGAGCGGGGCGGTTGTGGACGTTGCAGATTTCCTGGAGTGTTGTTAGTGGATGATCTCAGTCTGGGGCATGCGAGGTGACGAACATTCTTCAAATCTTCGTTCGTGACTTCGCCACCCTCGATGATAGGGCGGCCTGGAACCGACTTCTCGGGTGTTGGGGCTCGCTTTGTGAAGAGAGAACGCTTGGCTGCCGCATCAGGAAGATCGCAAAGTCTGTGGTCGAGTTAGTTTGTGATGATTTGAGGCAAGGAATGTATCGTACGTATTCAGCGCCAGGTTGTATGGTACTTTGAGGCTCTCCTTTTCGGGCTTTGGCGATGTAGGATATTCCTCGCCTTCTTTAAACGGGTTGTCATTCCTGACTTCAGAGTTCTTCAACATGAACTTCTTCATGTCTGCCGGTGCGGTGTCGTCGCCCCAGTTGCTGCTTAGTGCCGGGATGCTGAAGAGATATGCAGCGAGCCCGGCCTTCCGTCATTAGCGTCTTGTGCTAGGTTGGAGATGTTGCCGAATACTTACTATGGCTGGTGCCGCAGCGGATGTTCCATCAACTGCTTCAGTGGAGTCATCCTTAGAATCTTTGTCATGCTTCGCAGCAACAACTTGAACTGCGTCGGCGTATACATCGACTTGGCCGCCTTGGCCCTCCTTGCCTTGGACTGTCTGTGCGTAATACTTCCCGGTCTGGTCCACGCCACCCACAGTGATCATTTCAAACCTATCGTCGGTGCCATAGGTTTGCGGTATGAGGGAATCCAGAGTGCGATGTTCTCCATCATTACCCGCGGCGATAACAAGCGTGACACCGTCTTTCTTGCATTCCGCGAGTGCATACTCCAATACCGCAATCTTACCAGGATGCTGTTCTTTGTCCCAGCCTGAACTGTTGTTAGTGTGGTCTAGGACGAGATCGTGGAAGGCAAGACATACCATAAGATAGGTTGATAATATACCTTGCATTAGGGTCGGGATTATTGAGCTTTTGTTGCCTAATGTCCTTTCTTGTCCACGCGAAGGCATACTCTAGCGCTGAGTCCGTAACGCCACGTGGTTTAAGTTCAGGTCGGTCAGGGTTCAAAGGGTTCTTGGCCCAGTTCCTCATCTTCACGACAACAAGATTTGCTTTCGAGGCCACACCACTGACGTATCCGGCTGCGATACTCGCAACCATAGTGCCGTGACCAGTGACATCTGTCATATCCTCTGGACCTTGTTGATCTGGCGTGAGCCCAATACCAGCGAATGTGTATCGGTTAGCAACAGTAAAGTCCCGAACCTCGCGCTCTGAGGCATCGAATTCTTGGTGGCTTTTACGATAACCACTATCGAGGACGTAGATCGTTTGACCTTTTCCGAGTGAAGGCTCAAACACATAGTTCGGTAACTTTGTGGGGTCGTTTCTCTGGTTCCTGGCTGACAGCAACTTGAGATGAGCTGCACTCTCATCCCTCTGGTTGAGTGCCTGAGCTTTGACATGAAGTGAACTTGGAAGTAGTGAACTCGGATCTTCCTGCGGAGGGATGACGCGCAGCTCGCCATCGTCTTCAGTAATTCGCTCGATGAATCTTATGATAGGATCCTGGCGGACAATAGCGGCCTCCGCGTCAGTAAGATTGAGATATTGACAAGAAACATATTCGAGTTCATCGAAAGCGATTATGTCACCTTCCTTGTCACCAAGCGGCGGCTTCTTGGCCCACTCTTCGTATTGGGCTCTGTTGATGCCGTCAATGGTGCTGAGGAGATAGGCTCTGGGAGTATCTTCGTCTCTCTTGACGCGCTTCGTAGTCTCCATGGTCCCTGCTGGAGCGGCGTCATTTGAACCCGGCTGGCATGTATCTCCCTTGTTTCCCTTGTTGTCTGAGGTGGCGCATGATGATTTCACCATGGGGTTAGCCGAATCGATGGGGCTGGTTGATCCAGTTCCCACTTCGTCATTGGTAGCCATCCTTTGATGGAGGGAGACAGCAGGCCCAGTTGTAGCGGCTCCAATAGTGATGTGTGTAAGGAAGCCTGCGATTGCTCCCAGAACAACGCGCGAGATGTGAACCATGTCGGAAGCCTTGGCGAAGCGGGGAAGTTCACAGCGAATCGGATAAAGAGGTGCTCAATTGCCGCGAACAGCCAATCGAAGAAGCAGTATTCTGATGGATGCAAAACTCGTGATGTATACAAGGTGGTATGAGTGTAGTCGTTGCTGAATGTGCGTGTATGATCTCGCTTTTGGAGCGTCATGCCGTCTTCATATATTCAGACACATGAACAAAAATAGAGCAGTCACTTGGACCAGCCCACAATGACAAACGGAATGGTTCCATGCCGACAAGGAAACAGTACTGTTCGGATGCCTGACGCCTCCCTCAGGTTTAAAATTGCCAGCCTGTTCTGACGCCGAGGGGCGTAAGGCATGTTCAAGCTACTTTATCTTTGGATCAGAACAACATATCGGTCCTGCGGCACGGAAGTTTGAATGGACGCTGCATAGGACCACTGAACGATAATTTCGTGTTGAAAAAGGTCCGTCTCGATCAATGTGAGCCTTGCTCAACGGTCAAAGAGAAGTCCAGTTGTCCGCCAGACTCGTATGTTTTAGCCAGATCGCCCAATTGGTCTGAGTTCGATGGGCTGGAGAAGTGACCGCGACAGAGTTGCTGCGCAGAGCCTCCAAAGATCTGCGTAGCAACATTGTTGAAACGTACGTTCGCCTTGCCGTCGAGTATCAGGTATTTGCGTTCGCTGATATCAGCGAGGTACGTCGGATCGCGGACGTGAATAGCATCAGCGTCTCGCGAAGGCAGATTATGTTTTCATCGACGTGTCGTTTCAAGGGCCTGTATGGGGGCTGCAATGATTACGTGAGTGTTTGCAATGGTCTTAGTAGTCGCAATGTCCTGCCCTTCTCTTTCTCATACTGCGTGCCGCGTAGCGACTACCCATTATACGCGCCACACCTGATAATGTGAGCATGCTGTCGTGAGCCCGATCGAGGTTGCCGTAAGGAAGGCAGGGCCGGGATCGTGCCCTCTGGAGCAAGTGAACACGTGTACTTCTCGCGTCACATCACTCCGTGATCTTTCGAAGACATGCTAAGGTCGCTGCGACAGAGATGAACGCGATGATAACGCGTCGAAAACGCGTCGGTAGCTGAGCGTGTCGAGAAAGTAGGAGCGCGACCCGACGCGGCTCTGCGGAAGATCGATGATGGCGGGGAATTAGCGCAACAATGCGGAGCCTCCGCCTGCCGGCAGAGCCACATTTATGAAAAGCTCTGCCAACGGATGACATCGGCGATCTAGAACTCGGCATGGCATCTCAACATGTTATCGGAGATATATCCTTCTGCATCAGCCACTATTTTGCGGGCAGAACAGGAATTACCTGACGCCTGCTACCACATACATTGATCGCTCATCCACACCACTCTAACCTCCGCAACGAACAACTTCCAAGATGGCGACAGACGATATCCAAATCCCGCAGCACGTGGGCCTCTCAGAAGCACCCCGCGATGTCGAAGCCATCAAGAAGCAAGAAAAGGCCGCTCTGTTGCCACACTGGGATTCCGGCATCGCGTTCAAGCTCGGTTACAACCTCCGCACACGCCTGCTTACCTTTGAGCGACCGGCTGTCGTAGATATTTCTACCATCAGCACGCCAGGTCATGTGCTTTTCCATGCCGTGAGTACCATGATCGACGCGTATGGATAGTGTGCTAATACTGAGCAGGTAACCCACTCCGGCACAGCCCTAGACAACGACTTCTGGGTCAGCCGCAAACGCGCAGCCGTCATCCGCTTCAACGCAAGCACATGGCGTCTGCAGAACCAATTCGAGGGCGACGAGGAGAAGTTCAAGGCTAAAATGGGACTTGGTGAGACGGCGAAAGACTATGCGATTCATGGTGGTGGCGTGCCGATTTACATCAAGAACTGTGATGGGCCGGTTGCGGTGGTCGTTGTGAGTGGGTTGAAGCAGTGGGATGACCATCAGGTTGTGATTGAGGAGTTGGGTAAGCTGTGTGAAGAGATGGAGAAGGGTACCGCGGGTACGCCGATTTAGGAGGTGGGAGGGGTATATAAGTATCGTTGATATGGATTGACTCTTTCTTTTATCATCTACTCCAATTCACCGTTTTCGAAAATTGAGAGACTAGAACCTATGGGTGCAAAAAGGCTCAGCCTTCAAGAATATGTGGCTGTTGTGTCCCGCCGGGAACTCATTCTTTCCAACATTCATTCTTCGCAGTCAATATTCGCGGCGTCGGACTTCCAGGACAAAAGCATGGAAACCCAAGAACTGGGTTACAGTTTCGACGTCACTCTTTGCTTATTCAAAAGACCCTTTCATACTCTTTCAAAAGTCTTACATCCCGACGCATGTGGCATTCCCAACTTTCAAAGTCTCCAAACCCCCACGCATGACTTTGCCCCTTTGCCTCTGGCAAAAGTTACTTCCCTCTCCCTCAGTGCGACTGTCGATAGATCCATCCTTCTTTAAGCCTTCCAAATCTTACCAACTCCAACACATGCGAGCACCTGGTCTTTCCGAAAACTATTCTGCCATTTACTATGTCTTTTGGCGTCGAAGAAATGTACGCATTCTTCAAAATGACACACTCCCGATCTATGTCTCTCGGCGTATCTGTCAAGTGTAGCACATTATAGCGCCCGGCCAGATATAAAAGCTCACCCAGCCACTCTGCTTTCTTGCCTCCATCACCCACTCCTTCGCACAAGGATACAAAAGCGTACCAGCAAGCGTCCATGGACTTTGCGTGCTTCTTCCAAAAGACCAAGGCCAAGCCCCGCATGTGCAGTTCTCCCGTTCTTTATCAATCTACCTTAAAACCTGATTGAGATCAATACTTCCTTTCCTCATCTACTCAAAACCTCCGATTACCAAAACGGATGATGAAAGAAGCCATGGATAGTGAAATACGAGAAGCGACGCTCCATGTGTTTGCTGTCTCCTGCAGCGGTCTCAGCACTCAAAACAGACAGCTAAGTAGTTCATGCGCTGCACCGGCAGTCGGCAAGACCAGCAAGCAAACAAGCATGCCGTCCACCTAATGGCATGAGGCTATCTACTATCTTAAAGATTGTTATGAACATTCACAAATATTAAAAAACAAACGAAATGACCTCGGTATGTTTCCTGCCAACAAATTTCCAAGACTATTTGCAGCTCTTGCATGGCCGTCCGTTCCTGACCTTCTTCTACTTAATTGTCCCTCGCTGTGAGCGTCGGCGCATCTATCACTCTACCATCCGTTCAAATCTAAAAGCAGCTGGAACATGTAAATGCATGGTTTTTCCAAAAGTGTAAACGAGCTTGACATGACTTCGGTCGTCTGCAACTTGCTCAATTCCAAAAACATCCACCATCCAGTAACGTCTCCCGCCGCTTTCATTCGAACTATAAATGTCACTTCAACACGTGATACAGAGACGTGTAAATACCCCTCAATCCTTTCTTCCTCTTCCACTTCGTTATCCACTCGCTCAAGCTTGAGTATTCAAAGTTGTCCAGCGAAGCTGAATGGAGTACCCTGTTCTTTTCCAAAAGGCCATCACTGTCAAGCATGGCTGCTTTCCCGCACTCTGTCCATTTACTCAAAAAACTCGTTCAGTCCACCGCACTCCAAACTGACAAACATTTGCCTTATGATTGGGAAACGCCGCCGAACAGAACGATGTGGCCTCCAAAATCTGCATACGAACAGGTCATGATCCAGACTGTGTTTTGAGATTCTAAACTAAAAGCAGCGAATTTGAGTTGCATGTGGGCGACTTCGGCGTCGGTAAGAGAGGGTTTTGCAGTACTCTACTCTTCCTCTCAACCTCATGCGTGTTGTTCAAAGTACTATCCAAAATTTACCACGAGATCTTCATGGCTCTGCCGAACTTGTGAGATTTGCTATGACACGCGACATTGATCCCGTACGATTGAATTCGTGCAACCAACGGAAGTGCAGAGTACATTTGTATTGTTGACGGGCGATGTGCTTCATGTAAGATTATGCTTTATGCTGAACAACACATGTAATATGATTCAAACGATTTCGGAATGCTCAGAACCAGTTTGTCATAACAAAACCGCGAATGCATACTCGAGATCGATAGCTGAGTCTTTTCGAGAGGCAGCGCCATGCGCAAAAACTCATCATCTTTCCAGAACGAGACATCGCTTGTGTTTGTTATCGTTTTGGAAACATGACCCATCCGTCTTTTCTTTTTGGTCATTGATCGAGAAGATCTTGGATATTAGGAGGGAGGAAAGATCGAGACCAGAGAACAGCTTATATAGCCATCCACAGCCACGAGCTTCCAAAGTCTCATGTCCAGACAATCATCCCTTTTCAGCGAGTCTCAACTCAAACATTCGGATATCGTCTATCATGTAGAGAACGAACGGATCTTTTGATGATGAAGTATGAGTCTGATGGTACCGAAAGGCGGAGCCATAGTCGGTGTCTTCCTCAGTTTTTGCGGAGAACATAAGCAGGAGGAACTCAGGGTTTTGAACTTATGGAAGTCTTCTTGGAGCATTTTTGGAAAAAGAGGAAATGATTTTGGTGTATGAAAGGAAAAGAGAAGACGCCGTCGTAGAGGGCGTTTTATACCATGCACAGTGGCGGGGTTTCAAAGTTGGGTTGGTGAGGCGCTATGAACCTGGAGGCGAGGCTTTTCCAGAAAGGTTGGATAGCCTATCTCATGTGGAAAGTGGAAAATCTTTGGGAATGTAGAGTGAACGTTTGATGGTATTGGGAGGCAGAGCCATGGACTTGACAAGTCG